CCAATATTTCAGTTTTAGGTGAATGTGCGAGTGTGTGTCCATGTGTGTGTGTCTTGAGTGTGGGTGTAAACAACAAGCACTACATAGTTGCCATACCTAATGTGCTTGTTAGCCATCTCCGTGTCCCCCCGAGGCATGTGTCCCTATCCCTGGACTTATTCATGGTATGGTTTTAACAAGCTCTGTCGATGTGAGGCCACTGAGAGCTTGCAAGATTGCAGTCAATGGCAATTTCATATGCCACACAGAGCCCAAATAAGCTCTGCAAATGTTACTGGGGCCCTCAATCTATGTCAGAGAGAGCAGCAAGGTTAGGCACAATGGCCACGGGCTGCAGGTAGCAGATATAATTATATTAACAGCGGCTGGTTCAGGAGTCCAAGGAAAATTAACAGCACTCGCAGCAAGTTTTTTACTTTGCAAATAATGAAATTAAATTTAAAATGAAATTGAAATTAAATAAGGAAAATTTTCCCCAATGGCTTTCAACACATGAATGGTCTTATTATCTATATGGGTAAAGGGTTATTTAAAAATGTTTAATTTGGACTTTTCTTGCTTCAGAAGCCTATCCAGAAAGAAAATGCTTTTTTTCACTAATACTGTTGCTGCCAGCGTTTTTTAAACCTGGCACATGAAGGAAATTTAACAGGTGCATATTATATTGTTATTCCATCATGTCCACACAGAGCTTATAAACCTGGGCACGTTTCAACATTGGAATCACTTGCAGCAAAAAAAAAAAAAAAAAAAAAAAGTTCCTCTGCTTTCAATATGCATTGCAATTGAATAAAAGCTGTAAATGTGTGAAGTTACAAAATGAATCAAGAAGAATAAAGGTAGAGGGCTTGTGAAAGTGGAAGAGGGAGGGGTGTGCAGAGGGGCAGTGGGAAGAAGCCCACTTCATGAATTAACAGGCCTGTGGTAATGGAGTCTAAGGTCTCATTGCTATTTGTGATGGAGGCAGCCATGCATTCATTCTCTACTTATTAGGAGGGAATGGGGAGACGTCCTTCTTCTGATTAAAACTCCCTGCCGCATTTGTGGGGCTGGTGGGGAGCTGGAAGGAGATGAGCAGGAAGAGGAAGGAAAAGAAGAGAAGGAGATAAGATTACCACACAAGGAACAAAACCTCAGAAATCTATACCTGGAAACTTAGTGATTCACTGCTGTAGAACAATTAGAGATTTAGCAACTGGCCAGATTAGCAAGGCAGGAGGCGGGTGGTGATAAAAATACTTAAGGAACGTAACATTCTGTGGAAAAAATGCCAAAAACTGAACAACAGCAGCTCACACACACAACTGATACAGAAGGCTGGGTTGTGTGTGTACAGTACTGTATAGTACTGTATAGATTGTCTAAGATGCAGTGTGAAGCTCCAGTGTGTACAGTTTAACAGCAAGCAAAGGAGTAATGGTTTATAAAGCCGCTGTAAACATCGACTTCATTTCACCTCAAATCAGCATAAAGGGTTCTTTTAGAGCTCCAACCATCACACATGGATCAATTACACATGGAAGTGTTATTATTGTAATAGCTGCACATAAACAAATTCTCCTCTATTTCCTGGCCATTTGTACCTCCCACATGCAATGTTTGTGGACCTGCACTGCGTATGCTTCATCTGTGTCTGTCTGCATTACAGTCAACTGTCCACAGGCCACTGGAGCATGAGGAAGTTGTTCCACATTATTTCATTGTTTATTTTCTTCCATACAGCCCAAATGTCAGGTTAAATCATTGGACATAAAATTAACCCTTAATATTGACTATTATATACAGGGTATGTTTCAGAAATATTGTGTTGTTTTCTTTTGATTATTTTGCAGTCTTAAATCTGCAGTTAGAGACAAATCTGACATGGTACTGTCCAGGTGCAACGTTTTGCCGACTTTTCTCTATCTCTCCTGACCCACACGATAGCTGGGTGGAGGATTAGCTCACAGTAAATCCATTACAGTAGGGAGCTTTGTTAGATATGGCCGTTAAGCCCGACTCCACAGAGCACAAAAAACAAAGCTTGGGCAAACACTATATGACTGGGCTTCAACATATGTGCAGCAACTGAACGAAGAATTTCGACATTGTTGGCTTGGACAATCACATATCAGAAACAAAATGCTGCACTGAACAGCTTCATTTTTAAGGTAATCTGTCCAGAACTCCGACATGGACTGTGGACTCACCACATCTTCTACAAAGTGTCGGGCAAAAACTGGTGCAGTCAACACACACATACACACAAACACATATATGTATATATAACTATATACTGTATATATTATATATATATATTTTTATATATATACATTTTTTTATATTTCCATATTTAGGAAATCATAAGGTTTTGCCATGGGATTCACCACTAATTTTTAGATTTTATAAAATTAAATATAATATTTGAACTCTATGTCGATGTCCAGATGGCTATTTGAATCTTTAGTGTTGTGGGTGTGCTGTTGTTAAGAGTCAGACACTTTACTTTATTTACTGATATAAACAGTCCAAATCTGATCACCTGACCAGTATTGTTGTCAATAAAAATAATCAATGCACACTTTTTTCCTCATCACTAAATATAATCACTTTATTTCTCAGAAATGCTTATCAACAGCTGAGTCATCACTTTTTTCATTTTACTACACACTAATATTACCCGTAAAATGAAGTGTTGACTCCAAAGATTTCATCCTGCATCTTACCCCTGCCTCTCATCACCACTGTCTTTCTCACTTTATCTTCAAAGTTGTCTCCGACCACGGAGCAAAAATATTTGCTGTAACTTTTTTTTTTATTTGCTCGATTTAATTCCAAATTTTGGCCCTACATGTGAAAAATCACTTTCAACAAGCAATACCTGCACCTTAGGTTGCCATGGAAACCATCCACTTAAAAATAGACCCAGAGGAAAAAGAGCTTTGAGTGGAATATGTCTTCTTGATGGGCTTCACAAAGATATACTGTATGGTACTGTGGCTAAGACATGATAGCATCTTGTTCTGTCTTACCTTATCCTTAAAGTAATATTCAAATGTCTTTAAAGCCCAGGGTTTATATTAAATCCCAGAAATAAATTAGTATCTTCTGGTATTTGGATGATGAGTAAATCCTGCTTTCCAATAATTAAAAGTACTCATAAACTATGTTCACAGTAAACACTTTTTTCAAAAATACTTTAAAAAAAGATTGGAACTGCTGCTCAATGTTTGAGGCCCTAAATGGTAGTGCAACCACTATGCTTGAAAAACTTTAAAGACTCTAAAGATTGGAGAAAGAGAGAAAGACTTTTGATGCATCTAACCTACTTCTTCAATCATGCCTGTTGAACCAATTAAAGTATTTTACAAAACTATTAGCACTATAATCTGGAGTGCTAACCAACTTGATAAATAAAAGCAAATTACCTGACTTCAGGTTTTAGTCTTTTGTACTATTGTCACATTGATGAATGTGACCTGCCAACCTAATTGGCCACATGACAAGTTCAAGTAAATTCCACAACACAGCTGTTGTCGTCTTCTGTCAAACTAGTTCGAGCATTAATCATGTAGTTTTCTCAAAGAAATCATACAAAACGGAGGTTTTGTCATGGGATTCAACACTACCTGAAAACCTTTACTTTACAAGTGATTATTCCTCAGCTGTACAACAGCTCACAGACTTTCATGTGTCATGTTATACACATCATAATCTAATGAATCTTTCTTTGTGCATAACTGAGGCTTTGTATTTCTGGATATTATTATTATTGGCCCCGTAGTGGTTCCATTCTGTAGTGATTAGCACGTATGCCTCTGAAGCAGAGAGCAGCTGGTCCTTGGTTCGATTGCCAGAGGGACCGCATGCTTGGTGCCTGCAAGGGCCAGCCTGCTGCAGCAAATCTTCCGTTAACACAAGAATTTGTGTGGGATCAATAAAGGTCAAATTATTATTATTTATTATTATTATTATTACCCCTAAACTCCCTGATAGGATTCACGAGTGATAAATTATGCATGGATTCATGATGCTTTTTAGGATAATTTTTGCTACTGTTCTTTACTTCTCATAGAAAATGTGGACAAACCTAGCTGTATCAAGGTGGAACCTAATTTGTGAGGCTCTGGTTTCAGAGCTAATAAAGATGTGAAATTATAATTAGGTTGAGCTGAGCATTGACTGAATATATGTCTGATAAGGTTGTAAGAAATGAAGGGAAGTCTGTCCAGAGTTCTATCAAGAATAGCTGCACAGATTTACAATTGTTCTAATGTGTGTGCCTGTACACAGACATGCTGGTGCTGGTACTATTGTTTGTCTGTGTCCATATGATTTAGTATTGCCCCTGAAAAAAATTCCCAGATAGTCCATCGTACCGTTGATCCAATTATATGTGATTGACAGGAAGACAGACTAGGGGCCAAAGTGGTTAGAGGCCTGGGGCTGTTTACTAATCTGCATCACATTGACTATTACATAGAAAACAAAGAGTGATCGGTAATTTGCCTATAATGAGAAGAAAACAACACAGTGGCAGGTGCTTAAAAGAAGTTACAGTGACAAATATGAAGACACAAGCAGTGGCGGTGTGAAATAAAGTGGAGATGCCTCCTTAACTGTCAGTGTGCAGAATAAAATAAAATTTAGCAGCCTCCACAGATGTGGTCATAACAATTGTAGATAAAATAAAATAAGAGCGCCTACTTTTAATGTTCTGCAGTAAAGAATGTGGCTATATACGGAACATTTTCTGACACTTCTGCTAACAACGTCAGTCTTTGTGACTATTGCCAAACCATGTGTAACACCTGAGGAGATTAGTTTTCATCTGAGGGGGGAGTCATTTCTGCATTATTTCCCATGAACAACAGACAGATTGCTGCAACGTTCTGCAGGATGCTTCTGTTACCTGAAGAGGTTGAGAGGTAAATAAACTAACCCAGGTAATCTGTGTAAATGAAAGGAAACAAGTGTGTCATCTGTAATTGAACAGTTAATTCATTAGTGTAACTCTCTACCTTCATCTTGTGTTGTGCTGAACCACCAGACTGGAGAAACAACAGGATGGAAGCTCAGGAGGCTCAGTGTTAGTCCAGCCATGACTTTGCTCTTATTGTCCTGCAAAGGTGGGGGAGACAGAAACACATCACCTGACAATGACAGATGCATTCAATTCTAAGGTCTATAGGTCAGTGGTTCAAAGTAGGGATGCACTGATATAAATGCTGTACCAGTATTTGTATCGGGACTGATATTTCATTTAAAAATGTGTAAACAAGCTTTGCTCACTTTCTGTGTGTTTCTGTGTTAACTACTGTATGTTGAAATTTAAATTGTATTCATCTTTACCTTTTAATAAAACTATCATTTATTCTAAGTGATACTGCTATACTGTCTAATGTAATGCTACTTTTGTTCAATAAGGAACCATTTCTTTCTTTGAGCTGTGCCACTTATGGTATTTAACACATCCCCCCAGTTCACTACACATTTATTGAGACCTGACATAAAAAGTTATTAGTATCAGTACCCAGTATTGTCAAGTACACAAATAAAAATGGCTTATATATTACACGTTGTGTCTGAAAAAGTTTCTAACATCATAAATTAGGATGGATATGAAATCTGAATGTCATGCTACTCAGCGATAAAATATCTGTTCTATAATTTTGAAGGACTCAAACTTTTAAACACTGGATGTTTTTAAAATAAGAAAAAGAGACACTGTTGTATTTCAATTCTCTGCAGTTCAATATAGCCACAAGACATGTTCTGTTTTTCAGCTGTAGTTTTTATAGCTTGGAAAGTCATCAATCATGAATATGGTTCTCTCCTACATACCCATAAAACCTTGCTGGAAATAGTGGGTCCAGGCAAAATCTACTTTATTCTGAACAGCTTCCCAGGAAACAAAAACAAACCAAATAAAATTTGCTAAAGCAGAAAACAGGAACATTTCAAAGTCTTCCAAATACACTGAACGGGGCAAAAATAAAAGGCAGGGCTGTTCAAGTGCTTCCCTTATACTGCAAACTGAAAGTATTATATTGATAGCAATATATCCACATTATTTTTGACACTTGATTTGTGGGCATTTTAACCAGAGAATATATTCAATATAGGTAAGAGCGCCACCTTTTTGTCTTATCCGATAGCCTGCACACACACAGCGTGCCTCCTATTCCAGCCCTGAGCTTTATTTCTAACCAGAGACCCCTGTAATGACAATGAGGAGATCATGACAAATGATAGCTGTGCTTCACAATAATGACTATAGATTATCTCTAATAATAATATTAAACAAAAACAGTCACCAATAATCACATCAGTTGCAGTTGCTACACATAGTGCTGGCAGATCATGTATTGATTGTAATGAGTTGAGACGGAGACAAACGATTTCCAAAGTAAATGTCACATTTGGTTTTTGCACAACTGTGTAACTGGAATAAATGTACTGCATTTATTGAATATTTAGAGGGACTGTGTAGGCTGAGGGGATGGGAGGGGGGCAGACCTTCGTTCTGTGATAATAGCAAAGCAAGTCATGTCAAATTTATTTCGCCCATGAATCATATTCATTGTGTCTCAAAGGGCTTTACAGACTCACAGTAGCCGCAGCTTCTGACCCAGGCAGATCTCTTCTGTGAAAACAAGGAAAAGCTTCTCCAACAACAACAACAAAAACAGCAACCAAACAAATAAAGTGCAGACAGGATTGAATGCACAAAAGGAACTGCTGGTGTACTTCTGCAGGCACACAGAGTACTGCTAACACCAGCATCCAGGCAACTGACAGTTAGAGGGTAACATCCTTTCCACATTCACCTCAAGGATAGAATCTGCCCAAAGTGCTTACAAACACAGATCAGATACTGTAGCCCCATTATATCTTGCCTGTAGGTGGCGCTGTAAACCTGCTTAAATAAACTGGACTGCAAAAGCATTGCACATGTAGCCTCCTATTGTTTTAAATTTATGCAATTGTGAATGAGCCAGTGGTTAATTACTACAGACTAGCCGAAGATAATGCCCACATCCCTGGGTAGGCTGAGCACTGACAACCTCTGATCCCACAGTCTTAGCTCTGGACAATTTAGAGAGTCTAATTAACCTAATCATGCATGTCTTTGGACTGTGGGCAGGGGAGTGAAGCATGAAAAAAAACAACATGCAGGCACAGGGAGAACATGCA